AGTTGTTATTTTTTAAAATGTTTTAATTTTATGTTTTGCAGTTGGGGTCCCTCAGGTTTGAATGTACCAAGCATACATTCAGACCTGAGGTACCCCAACGGCATTCCTCAACGCCATATCATGTTTTACAGTTGGGATAGTGTAGCATACTTGCACAATTTTATATTATATTAGAATCAGGCTTAACAGGGAGAGGAACATACTAAACATACTACACATACATGTCTGAACTGACTGGCTACAGCATTCAACTTCACTGAAAATTGTTATACTGTAGTAGGCTCGTGGATTAAGCTTGTGGTACATTTGAACTGTTCAGTGTAGTGCAGGCTAGGTACAGGATTGTAGATAGTGATCTGCATGGCTATCTTTTGATTTAGACAAAAATAAAACACCGTAATTATAGTAAATGGTGTTGAGTGCAATGTCTAGGTCATTATGTGAGTTGTTGAGTGCTTCATTAACTACCCTTGAAGTGTGTAGACAAATCTCACAGCTAAACATTAGGTGTGTGCCAGTGCAGGAGTAAATAATATGTTAACGATGTATATCTCTGGAAATTAACAAACGGATTGAGGGCATTATACCTTTGAGTGGTAGCATGGAATTTCGACCTTCGGGTAGGAGAAAAAAAAAGAAAAGAAGATAAATGCAAACAGCAGGATGATTGTACCACAGAATATGGAATCATAACAGGAACATAAGTACAGTTCTGTGGTAGGCCGGAGAAAACCTCCGCCCGGTGTCCATGTCTTCATGACAGGAGGGATCTTTCAGGCTTAGGTAACTTACTCAGCCGATTCCTGCCAGGGTACCCCGAATTCCTGAGATGCAGCAAGGTAGTGGTCAGATCTTCCATGTGGGCACAGTTCACGAGGGTGGGTGACCATGCAGAGGTGGTAGGAGGCGACACTCCTGCCTCTAGCCTGCGATGGGTCTAGTACCTCGCTGCCATGTACTCAGTGACCGCTGGAGGCCAAGTTCTTTCCAGGCTTGTGACTCTTACTGGGGTTCCTTCTCATTGGGGGGGTGTCATGGCGTTCTTGAGTTGAGGTTTCCCTTGTGCCCGGTGCTGTGTGAGAGCTGGTTCCCTCTTGCCACGAGCCTGGGATCCCTTTCGGGATGGTGCGGGGAGTCTTGTTGCCCTTTACAGGTCGTCGTCGCTTGTGTCTTGCTGCTTTCCGTCGTTGGGGCCGGCACCTATAGGGTGTGCCCCCTGCTGCTCTCAGCACGGGAGGGCCCTTGATGCGGGAATCTGTAGCGTGGGACTTCGTTGGGCCCTGAAGAGGATTCTCAGGCCTCCGTTCGCCATTGACTTTATCCCGTGTGGACGTTTTTTGGTGAGTCGTCGCTGGCTGTAAGCGCGTCATCAGAGCTGTAAGCGCGTTCTGCAAGGGAGTCTCTTGCGTGGTCGCTGGTGTCTGATAGGGCATGCTGTTGCTGCCGCTTGTCTCGTGTGGCAGAGTCAGACGAATCCGCCATCTTGAGGCCCCCGTTCACACGTTGCTTGGGGAGATTGCAGGGCCCATAGTGAGGTGTGGGGTTTGAGATACTCCGTCTGGCGGGGACCGGTAAATTTCCCACCGGTCCACAGGGGGAGGAGGGGGAGTGTTTCGTGCCTGCATGAGGTTTTTAAATCGGGCGGGAAGGTGGCCGTCCTTCCTCCTTGCCTCCTCCGCCCCAACCTGCTGCTGCGGTTCCCGGTCAAGCCAGGTGTTGAGTGTAGTGTCGCCGGGTACGTTCAAGCTTTCCCAGTCCAATGGGCTTTTTTGTGGGTGAATCGCAGCACTGTACCCCGAGATAGCAGCATAGTTTGAGCCTGTACAGTAGGAGCTCATGCAGAGTACGTCCTGTCAGCTCACTAGTCTGGCTCCACCCCTAATTTGTTGTTTGTTATATTTTTACCTGGCTTTTACCTTATTTATCGTGTGACTACAAGTTTATCCGAGGTGGGGATCATACCACCAATGCTGTTATCATAGTGCAGTTGGCCTGCACTATACTTGTAAGTACATTTTTATTTTACGTTCATTTTATACCCAGTATACACTGAGAGCACTATCATTTGTTTTTTATATATAATTTTTATATATATCTTTCTCTTCACTCATATTGGTCCATACATTCTATATCAGTGATGGCAAACCTTTTTGAGCCCGAGTGCCCAAACCGCAATCCATGCCAACTTTTCTTCCCTCAAAGTGCCAATATGGCAATTAAACCTGAATACTGATGTTTAAGTTTAGAAAAAACTACTCGTACAGTTGTCCAAACTAGTTAACATCTTTTGAACACATTCACACACCGACTGCTTAATACATACATACACACAGACACACAGACTGCTAAATACACACACAGTTCGCTAAATACACACACACACACAAACATACACACAGTCTGCTGAACACACACACACTGCTGAATACATACACACAGTCAGCTGAATACACACACACACTGCTGAATACATAAAGACTGCTGAATACACACACATATACTGCATTGAGGGGTGCAGTGTATGTGTTTGTGTGTGAGGGGTGCTGTGTGTGAGAGGGGGTAGCGGTGCTCTGTGGGGTGGGGTGGGGGTAGGGATGATGTGTGGGGGGGTAGGGGTGCTGTGGGGGGTTAGGGGAGCTGTGTGGGGGGTAAGGGTGTGGGGTGCTGTGGGTGGGTAGGAGTGCTGTGTGTGGGGGTAGGGGTGCTGTGTGTGGGGGTGGGAGCATGGGGGTGCTGTGTGTGAGGGGTAGGGGTGCTGTGTGTGTGGGGGGTAGGGGTGCTCTGCTTGGGGTGCTGTGTGTGGGGGGTGGGGGTGCTGTGTGTGAGGGGTAGAGGTGCTCTGTTGGGGGTAGGGGTGCTCTGTTGGGGTTAGTGGTGCTAACTCCCTAGCGCGCTGCGTACTGATACCGGAGCCGGAAGATGATGTCTTCTTCCGGCTCCGGTATCAGTGCGGTGCGCGAGGGAGCTGAAGAGGAAGCACTCAGGGGAGAGTGCTCCCTTGCGCACCCGCCAGCCTGCCCGCCCGGTGACACCAGGGCCAGCCTCGGGGCCCATTAGGAGAAGAGGCTAGCCACAGTCGGTACATACCGGGTCACAGGGCGGCCGGGCCCCCTGGTGGTCCGGGCCTGTTTGCAGGCGCGACCTCTGCGACCCCGTTATGTATGCCACTGCCTATAATGACCCTGTAACTTTCCAAAACATCATAAAACCTGTACATTGGGGGTTATACTTGGGAGACTTCGCTGAACACAAATATGAGTGTTTAAAACAGTAAAACTTATCATGACGATGAAATCACCAGTAAAAGTGCAGTTTTAGAAAAAACTAATATGAACGCTAACTTTGGCAAGCGTTTGTGGCTAAGTGGCTACTATAAAAGACTGGACATATACCCCATTTTGAATACCCCGAGTTGTCTACTTTTACAAATGTTATGCCATGATGGGCTTAATTTTCATTACAGGGCTGCTATAGGGTCTCAACTGTAACATAGGCCCAGCAAACCAATCTGGCAAATTTCAATGTGAAAACATGGAAAAGGGGAAAGCCCTACATTTGACCCCTGGAAGTTCACAAAAACCCATAAAACCTGAACATTGGGGCCACTGTTGTACTCGGGAGATGTTCTTTGTCAGTAACACATAACAGGAACTGAGAATCCATGCCTAAAGTACAATGTGAGAGAAAAATAACACAAAAAAATTACTACCCAAATGTTTGACAAAGGCTGGCGGTAGAATTAGTGCATGAAAAGTGTTAAAATACCACCATTTGAAATACCCTAGGTTGCCTACATTTCAAACATATATGGTTTGATGGGGGTAAATTACATGGGCCGGCTTCAAAAATGTCCCAAATAGGACATGGGTGCATGATGACCAGCTGTGAAAATTCCAAGTTGGAAAACTGGAATGTGCACGCTCCAAATAAGGTTTTTTAGCCCCCAGAGAACTTGACACACCTATATATGGGAGTTATCACTGTACTCAGGAGGTGTTGCTGAACACCTATTGGGGTGTTCTTTGGCAGTAACCCTCAAAGTTTTCCGTATATGTATTCTTAAATTACTATGTGTGTCAAAAAAAATCACCAATAATTTAATTTTTTTTAAATTTAGCATAGATTGGTGTTAAAATGGTTGAATGAAAAGAGTCAAAATACCCCAAGTTTAATACCTTAGGTTGTCTTCTATTAAAAAATATATATACATGTGAAGGGTTATTCAGGGATTCCTGACATATATCCGTGTTACAATGTAACTTACATTGATTTTGAAAAAAAAATGGTTTGAAAATAGCAAAGTGCTACTTGTGCTTATTGCCCTATAACGTTCCCAAAAAAGCTAAGAATATGTTAACATTGGGTATTTCTAAACTCAGGACAAAATTTAGAAACTATTTAGAATGGGTGTTTTTTGGCAGTTGTAGATGCGTAACAGATTTTGGGGGTCAAGGTTAGAAAAAGTGTGTTTAAAAAAAAAAAAAAAATTACATCATATTTTATATAAAAACAAATTATAGTAAATTATATATGATATGATGAAAATAATGGTATTTTTAGAAAGACCATTTAATACTGAGAATTTTTTTTATATAATATGTAAGTGAGTAAGAGGAAAATTACCGCTAAACACAAAAAACGCAGAAATTTAAAAAGAGCCCTGGTCCTTAACAGTAAGAAAATTGAAAAACGTTCTGGTCACTAAGGGGTTAAAAAGTATCATGGAATTAAATATGGATTTTTCTAATGCTTTTTGGAGATTTCTATTTTCTATTTAAGTATGTTTCCCTTTTTTTTATACTCCCCTTTGAAGTTTCTATTTTAAAGGACCACTATAGTGCCAGGAAAACATACTTGTTTTCCTGGCACTATAGTGCCCTGAGGGTGCCCCTCCCGCCGGGCTGCATGGAGAGGAAGGGGTTAAACGTTCCTCTTTTTCCAGCGCCGGGCAAGGAGCTCTCCTCCCTCTTCTCCTCCTCTTCGGCTGAATATGCATGCGTGGCAGGAACCGCGCGCGCATTCAGCCAGTCCATAGGAAAGCATTCACAATGCTTTCCTATGGACGCTGGCGTCTTCTCACTGTGATTTTCACAGTGAGAAACGCAGAAGCCCTCTAGCGGCTGTCAATGAGACAGCCACTAGAGGCTGGATTAACCCTAACATAAACATAGCAGTTTCTCTGAAACTGCTATGTTTATAGAAAAAAGGGTTAACCCTAGATGGACCAGGCACACAGACTACCTCATTAAGCTGAAGTGGTCTGGGTGCCTATAGTGGTCCTTTAAGTTTGGGATTAAGGTTTTTAAGTTTTGTATGTAATAGTTCATTAGAGTATATTACACTTTTAATATTTTATTCTAATATATTTATTTACCTTCCCATATTATGAATTGCAACGCATTACCTTGCAGTGGTAATTGCATACAGGTGTGAGAACACAAGATGATTATTCCCTCATTAACCTCTTAAGGACAACGGGTTGCTATGTCGTTCTTGGGGACCTGGCTCTAAACGCCGGTGGGTGGCATAGCACATCTATGCCGTCCGGGATCCCACGCCGGCAAACGCGTTGGGGGGACTTACCTGGCATCCCAGAGAGTACCCCTGCGTCTGATCCAGCCCTCCTGGGCCATGTGATCACGAGGTCCTTGCGAGGACCTCACGATCACATTGACGGAATAGCCATCCATAGCAGTGCCAGCAGGGGGAGTGCCTGAAATGACAGGCAGTCCCCCTGCTGCATGAATCAAAGTTTAAACACAGTTTAAAATGAAATAATATATACTTAGATCTCATATATATATATATATATGATCTAAGTATATATATATACACTTACACATATATATACACAGTCTAAGTGTATTTTAATTATATATATATAAATGTTAATATCAAAATACACGTAGAATATATATAATTTTATTTATATATGAAGTGGAAAAATCAATTAAAGTATTGATTATTTCTTTGTGTATCTGCCCCTGGCCAAATCAATGAAACAATGCGTGCACGCTCCCTGAAGTAATTCACACCAGACACAGGTTCTAGGTTGTTGAATAACTTGAGGAAAGTTTATTCAGAGGGGACGGCAAGTCCCTTTTAAAGCAAAATTACATCATATGCATTGTCAGAGATAACATGGAATAATACATCAATAATTGGTTAGGTGTTAAGTGGTTGCTCTAATGCTCTGCCTACTGCAGGTGATGTCACCGGGACCATGAGGGTCTCCCACGGTTTCCCGGCGCCATCTTGTTACACGAGGTAGTTAGTCGATGTTTAAGAAGGGAGGGGGAGGGGAAGGAGGGGTTAGAAGCTTCTAGCAGCCATCTTGATTGAAATATGTGTGCTCAGATTTATATGTGATATATATTGTAGAATGAGTAAATAGACATTTTCTCTAACTAGGAAATATGTATAGACCTTATTTCCACAACAGTCCCCCCTAAAATGGCTATTTACCATAACAACTGCTGCTGTCCCTAATATGTCCCTAGTTGCCCGCAACCTATCTGTCTTGACAAGCATCGAACGCTTCACTCCGCGGGTATCCCGCAGTGGCTAGCCCACTACATCTCCACACGTGAGACTCACCTGTCAAGACAGACGCTTTCCCTACTCTATCCCTACAAAAAAGCAGTTGTCTGTTTAAACTGATGTGTTTGTAGGGGTGTATGTGGGGTGTCATCTTCAAGGTCTGTGATATCTTGATGTATGAAGGTAGGGGTCACGTTATCTACAGTCTTATCCACCGCTTTCTGCAGATATTTCTGTATACAGGGGAGTATACAACAGGCTAAGAACAAAAAGATAATGAACACCATGAGAACAGCTGTCCCTACCTGAAAGAGGGTCTTTTGCCAGCCATTCATCCACCCAAACCATTTGTCCCATATGTCAGTGACTCCCGAATTCTTCTTTAATTCGTCTGCAAGACTATCTAGCTTTTCTATGGCCATAGTCACCTTACCATTGGGCCCAGTGTTGTCTGGAATGTATGTGCAGCATGTCATGGTCTCAGGGAGGATTTTACATACTCCCCCTTTCTCGGCTAGAATCATATCTAGGGCCATTCTGTTCTGAAATGTCATTTGGGTAGTGGCTTGTAGTTGCTCTGCCAGGCCCTGTAGGGCATCCCTTGTGTAGTTGACAAAGCGTTGCTGATTATAATAGATATAGTTAATCCAATTGACATTCTTGTTAGCAGTTATCATTGGGATTAGGGACTCAAACCCTGCAGCCACTTCATCTCTTGCTTTGAATTCGTTAGGCACCCCCCTTGGCACACCTATGGCATCAATGTACACATGGGGGTCGAAACTCCCTCGAATAGGGGTCTCTCGTTTGGTTCTAGAGTGTATATGTGTGAGGTTTAGCGTGTTATGGTCACCATCTGGAATGATATGGATAGGCATTATGACTTTGGTTAGGGCACACTCCCCCCACCATTGCCCAGCTAATTGGGGCCTTAATTGTTTGTCACCACATAACCAATAGATATCACCGATTGTCTTTGTATGATTCATTAGCAGTGATACAGGTAGACTATGGTAAGTTGAGCAGTATCCTGATGGGAATTTGCCCAGATACAAACCAGTGTTCTCTGGCATTGAATAGCATGTGTAATTACCTGGGTAGATGGTGACTCCATCAGGTGGTTTCACATGTCCATGGGTGATTGGGTAAATCTTCTTCCAGGATTCACATGTTGAGGAGTTAGTGGTGGATTGTGCATACAAACTCAGTACACATAATTCTATTTCAGGAGGTAAACTCAGAGGTACTGTACCCAGATGGGGTCTGGCACCTCCGCATACATAACAATTAGTCTTATTGTGTGAGTTGGCGTTGTACCTCATCCATTCTAGCCATAAATTGGTATCTGAAAACCCTGTTTCTACTGCCATGGTATCTTCAAAGGTGGGGTTAGCTATGGCTACCATGTCATGTAGGGTTTTGATGTGTGGTTTCAATGGGTTAATGACCATATGTGTAGTTCCCACCCAGTCAGAGGAATTTAGCATATCTTGCAGGTAAAAGGTCCCTAATGCGTTATGTGAGCCACCTCCCTTCCAGTACATTCCCATCACATACTCCCCTGCATCCCTTGGACTAGGGTGTTCTATATTTAAGGTGAGTTTAATGGGAGTTGACCCTATGGGTTTACTCAGGGTCATTCTAGAGAGCAAGGGTTTCCCGTCTTTGTCAAGTTTGTCTAATGCAACTTGAGGTCTGTAGCCCCATGGTCTACCTGTGTTCCACCCGGCAGCTTTCCATGAACTACAATGGTGTCCCCAACCTTCGCCAGTCACACAAATGTATGGATCCTTTTTGTTAGGTATGTCCTTATATACAGCTGCATGTTGTGTTTGTGGAAATGTACAAGTAACTATGTCACAATAGTCAAAGGTGTATGTAGCCACATCAGTATTAGAAGAATTGTACCAAAAAGTGTAAACATGGTTATCTTTGGTTATGGCCACTTGTTGGGCCCAGGCAAAATGTAGCAGCATAAGAAAACACAAGACACATAATAAGTTCATTTTTCAACAGGATCAGTCTCTTCTGGAGCAGGCACTTTTTTGCAATGTGAAGCGTGTATCCAAGAACTCTTCCCAGCTAGTTTAACCGACGTTGCTGTAATCAGGAGCACTTGGTAAGGACCATCAAATCTCGGTTCTAGGGTGTGTTTTCTGAGAAACTTCTTAACCATCACCCAGTCACCTGGAAGCAGCTTGTGTGTACCTGTATTCGACTCAGGATCTGGAATAGAAGAAAACACTTGGGCATGTATCTTGGTCAAGGCATGTGAGAGGGCTGTCACGTAATCTACCATAGCATCTGACTGGATCTGAAGCTGTTGGGGAAAGTAACAACCTAACCTAGGTGCTGTGCCAAACAAAATTTCATAAGGTGACAGGCTGTATTTTCCCCTAGGAGTGTACCTCACACTAAACAATGCTAATGGGAGACTCTCGGGCCAAGGCATGTTAGTTTCTTGTGACATTTTAAGCATTCTGGCTTTTAGAGTGCCGTTCATGCGCTCTACCTTACCACTACTCTGTGGGTGATATGGTGTGTGGAATGCAAGGGTCACCCCCAGTGCTGACCAGACTTCCCGTGTTAGTGAGGCAGTGAAGGAGGTTCCTTGGTCACTCTCAATTACTTCTGGAACCCCGTAACGGCAAACAATTTCTGTCAAGAGGTACTTGGCTGTTGTCCTCGCGGTGAGGTTAGTCACTGGGAAGGCCTCTGGCCATCCTGAAAACATGTCCACTATGACCAGTGCATATTCATGGCGTCCGCTCTTTGGCATCTGAATATGGTCAATCTGAATCCTCTGAAAGGGGTATTGTGGCTTGGCTAGATGATTAGGTGCAGTCTTTATGATCTTTCCAGGGTTGCACTTAGCACATATAGTACAAGATTTGCAATAATTCTGTGTTAAGGTAGTGATGCCTGGTGCTTCAAAATACTTGTCAATCAGTGAATTCATCAGGAGCTTTGATAGGTGGGCTGGCCCATGGGCCCATTGGACCACCGCTGGGTACATACTTCTGGGTAGACAGAACTTGAGATTAATGGTGTAAACTTCATCACGGAGTATTGCTCCTTTGTTCTTCCAACTCTGCTTCTCCTGAGGAGTGGCAGCAGCTTGCTGTTCCTTCAGCAGCCTGAGGTCTGTAGGCAATGTTTGCATAGTATAAATTGGTAATGCATCTGTGGCCACTCTTCTGTCCACTTCCCATCCTTGTCGTGCCGCCTCTTTGGCCGCCTGATCAGCTAGGTCATTGCCACGTGCTTCTTCTGTGTCTAATCTTCCATGAGCTTTTACTTTCAATACTGCCACTTCTGCTGGGAGTTCCAATGCGTCCATCAGTTCTGCAATGGCTGCCCCATGCTTTACTGGGGTACCGGTAGCTGTAAGGAATCCTCTGGTCTTCCAGATTAAGCCAAAATCGTGTGCCACTCCCAGGGCATATCTTGAGTCCGTATAAATGTTGACACGTAGGCCTTCGGACAGTTTGCAGGCCACAGTCAAGGCTGTTAACTCGGCCTCTTGGGCAGATTTAGTTGGTTGTAGGGCAGCTGCTTGTAATATTTGACATCCTGTGGTAACTGCATATCCAGTGTGGTATTGTCCTTGTTCGTCAGCAAACCTTGAGCCATCCACAAATAGTGTCTGATCCGGGTTGAGTAATGCAGCTTCATAAACAGTTGGTAGGTGTGTAGTTTCCATTTTCATTTGTTCAAAACAGTCGTGAGGGATATCAATAAGGTCGCAGTCTATGGTGAGTGGGTCCTCACAGGCCTCTGTGTGGTACCTGGAGTGTCCTGTTGTGCAGTAGTTAATTGTCTTTTTATTTATTCCTGCAGAAGTCAGTTGTTCTTGAGTCATTTGGTTCCAAGTTTTGGCCATCGGGCCCAGGGTCTCCCATGAGATGTCGTGGGATCTGGTGAGAGGTATGTGTGGGATAGCTGTTTCCCAATGGTGGTAGAGGTGTACTGCATTGTCTGGAAGATGTACCAGAATGAGCATGGTACCTGTGGAATCCCAAAACAAGTCAGTCAAGGTAATTTGGATGTCTTTGAGCTGAAATAGTTCTTCCTCATAGTCAGGGCTTGGTATGTCCCTAAACCACAAGACACAGTGGAGTAGGGCCTCTGATTGTTCATCATCAGGGGAAGGTGCAAACACAGGCAATTGTAAATCTGCTCGGACCTCTGGGTTGATGTCCAGGCTGTACCAGTGGTGCACTATTCCCCCCTTGGGAAGTGGCAGAAGAGTGGCTGGGTTCAGGGAAAGGCATCTCTGGAGTTTCACATTGTCAGGTAGGAGTAAGGATGTCTGTAGGCGAAGGTGGCGTTGTGAAGAAAGGTGTTTTGGGCGGATTTGCTGTAAGATTGCAGTAATATCGTGAGGGGCCAACACTGTGAGGTGATGGCCAAGAACAAAGTCATTGGTCTTGTCCAGGAGAGCACTGGCGGCAAACACCGCGCGGAGGCAAGAGGGGCTACCCCTTGCAACAGGGTCAAGCATGCAGGAAAAATAGCCAATAGGCCGTTGTCTTGAGCCATGTTTTTGGGTGAGGACTCCGGAAGCATGTCCTGATTTTTCAGAGACGAATAGGTTGAAGGGAAGTTGGTAGTTTGGTAGGCCCAAGGCAGGTGCAGAAGCAATAGCTCTTTTCAGAGTGCGGAAACAGATAATAGTTTCTTCTGTGAGATGGAAAGGTTCACTCCTGAGGGCATCATAGAGTGGCTGCATGAGTTTTGATGCTTCAGGTATCCAGGACCTGCAGTACGTGATTAGACCCAGGAAGGCATGGAGAGTCTGGTGGTTAGCAGGTAATGGAAGAAGCAGAATGGCTTGTACACGTTGGGAGGTGAGATGTTTGGTGCCATGGGAAAGGCAGTGTCCCAAGAAGACCACAGAGGGCCGGCACCACTGTAATTTGGATTTGGAGGCTTTGCAACCAGCTGCAGCAAGAAAACATAGGAGGTCTTCTGAATCACGCTCCGCAGTGAGCAAATCAGGAGCACAGAGAAGGAGATCATCAACATATTGAAGCAGGACGACATCCAAATGAGATTGTTGCCAGGGTTCCAACACCAGTGACATGGCGTGTGCAAACTGTGTGGGGGAATTCTGAGCCCCCTGAGGCATGACAGTCCAGGTGTATTGCTGTCCTTCATGGGTGAAGGCAAAGAGGAAACGACATGATGGGTCAAGGGGGACACTGAAGAAGGCATTAGCTAGATCCACCACGGTGAATATTGTTGAAGTTGATGGGACTTGGGATAAGAGGGTGTGGGGGTTAGGAACAATGGCAGTGTCTTTGATGGTCACATCATTCACAGCACGGAGATCTTGTACCATACGATATTGGTCAGGTTGACCTTTAACAGTTCTCTTTTTAACTGGAAAAAGTGGAGTATTGCATGGAGAGGAACACTTGATGAGGGCACCTTTGGTAAGGAGACTTTCAACTTGTCTGGTAATGGCTTCAGCTTGTGCAGGCTTTAGAGGGTATTGTGGCCTGCGAGGAGGCAGTGCCCCGGGCAGGAGTTGGACCAAGACCGGGGGCACATTTAAGCGTCCAATATCATCCGGGCCAGTGGACCAAAGTTCAGGTGGGATACGATCCAGAGCACTGGGGGTTTGTGGGACCTGTGCATCCCCTGTGTAGTCAGGAAGGTTTAACAAAATAGGGAGTGAACAGAGGACAGAGGTATCTTTTTGTGATAAGGGAGTTGTCAACTCAATCTGCCCGTCTGCAGTGAAGGTAATGGAGGCCTGGAGGCGAGAGAGAACATCGGCACCTAGGAGGTTAATGGGGCAAGTAGAGGAAACCACAAAGCGTGAGAGGATGTGTGAACCTACGTGTAGGAGCTTAGTAAGGGGGTTGCTGCGTGGGGTACCATCCACCCCAACACAGGAAACATCAGTGTCAGATAAGAAAGAGGGGTCAGGCAGGTCTTGTTCCCTAAGGACACTACGGGCTGCACCTGTGTCAACTAGGAAAGTGGTGGGGTGGCCCTCCACAGGGAGAACAACAGTAGCTAGAGGGCCTCCCCCATCCCCCGCAGACACTGCCATGGCAGGGGTTGCTGACACAGGCTTGCCGGTTACCTATTGTAATAAATCTAAATGGGCCTGGTCTGGTCCCTGGTACCGGCGGGAAGTAGAAGGGGGGTTAGCAGAATGCATGGGAGGGCGGGATGGGCGGAGAGTTGGACGGGGTTGGCCGTCTTGGAAATCATCATTATCAAACCCATCTGCAGAGTGTGAAGTATACGTGCGAGCTTCTGATACAGGGGGCCGAGCTTGAGTGTATTCAGGAGGAGGAGGAGGAGGAGGAGGAGGTGGTGGAAGCTGAGGCAAATGTGGATGGGGAAGGGCGGGGAGGTAACCAGTGGAAGGGTAGTTATAGCCGGGGACATGGGGGCCTTGGTACCGGGGACTTGGCTGGCGGAACACTCTAGGCTGTGGGCAATCTCTTCTGAAGTGGCCTGGCTGATTGCAATTAAAACAGGTCCGGATTGTCATAATGGTCCGGTCCCGGGGGAAAGGGATCGGTGCAGGCAGTGCCTGAGGTGATTGAGTGTACTGTTGGGGGAATATCTGAGGGGCTGGATTAGAACTAGCGATAGGTGTGGAGGCGGTGTACATCAGCGGGCTAGCCCTACGCTGCGTGGGTTGTAAAACAGATTCTAGGCCCTTGGCTACTAACAAAAGAGTGTCTAGTGGAATAATTCTATACTCAGGGCGAGCTAAAATTAACCCCTTGCGAATGTGTTCTCTCAGTCCTGCCACAAAAGCTGCAGAGAGCATCTGGGTGTGTGCCTTGTTGTAAGTGCTGAACCCTAAGTCCGAAAATGTCTGAGTCAACCTAGAATGGTACTTTTCAACGGTCTCAAGTTTGTCCTGAATTATGTCATTAATGCAAGTAGCCTGGTCAGCTAGTTTATCCTGCGCCCAGGCGCGAAGTTGTTCACAGAAAATTTCACCAGAACGGAAATCAGTATCAGAAGTAAGTGGAGCATCACTAAAGCTCCGTTCCATGATTGGCCAGTATGCATCTCCGGCCTTAATTTCACATAAACTAATAAGGTCCCGCCATGCAGCGGAATATGTCTTACGGATCTGAGCCATCCTGCGGAAAAAGGGCATGGGGTGTTTCTCAGGATCAGGGAGTGAAGTTACAAGGGTAGCGGCTTGGGAAGGGTTAAAAGTAACGTACATAGGTGGTGCACCATCCGCCCCATGGTTGATCTGAGTATACCCCTGGGGAAGCGAGTGCCGTTGGGGAAGCCTTTCCCCCCCCAGTTGGGGTTGGCTCTGGTCCACCACAACGACCTCCTCGGGCACTATTGAACCACGGTGAAGAATAACCTCAGGGGTAGCTGTAGCGGGGGCAACTGGGAAGGGGGTGATAGGAGAGGTAATTGGGTGGAAACCCGAGGCTTGGGGGGAGGCACCCATCGCATAGGGCTGGTCCGAGGTCGCAGACACCTCGGACCCAACCACCATGATTGGGTAGCTGGTGCTGGCGGAAGGGGCACGGGGAACTAAAGCCGTGGAAGGGGCCAACATGGGGGGCGGCGGGGCTGGCCGTGAGAGGTGGGAGTTCAAGACATGGGCAAGGGCAGAGATTGGATCGGAAGACTCGAGGAAATTAACGGGGGACAAGGGAGGGGTCGAAGGCTCGGGGGGAGGAGGAGGAGGAGGAGGTATATCGATGGGAGGCAACGCAGGGATTGCGGAGTTAACCAGGGAAGTGACCGCAGTGAAAAGGGCGGAGATTGAAGTTGATAGGTCATTGGACGGAGGTGCGTCAAGGGTTGCCGAGGAAGGGGTTGAAGGGATAGGAACAAGGGGCTGTGGCAAAGCAACGTAGGTGGAGGGTTTGGGCGGTGTGGGAGGGAGGGATAACGTGGTAGAGGGGGCTGGGACTTCGGGAGGAGGAGGTAACACTGGAGGAGAGGTGGTAACGGGGGCTGGGTTAGGGCGGTGAGGGCAGAGATTAGGGACGGCAAATCGGCCGTGGGAGGGAGGGATAACGAGGTAGAGGGGGCTGGGACTTCGGGAGGAGGAGGTAACACTGGAGGAGAGGTGGTAACAGGGGGCTGGGTCAGGGCGGTGAGGGCAGAGATTAGGGACGGCAAATCGGCCGTGGGAGGGAGGGATAACGAGGTAGAGGGGGCTGGGACTTCGGGAGGAGGAGGTAACACTGGAGGAGAGGTGGTAACGGGGGGCTGGGTTAGGGCGGTGAGGGCAGAGATTAGGGACGGCAAATCGGCCGAGGAAGGGAGGGGTCCTGGGTTAGCAGGGAGACAGAGATTCGGAGGAATAGGGCTGGTGGAAGGGGCATGGGGTAGGGGAGTTGGATGTGTGATGGACGGAGAGGGTGAAGGAACGGAGGCTATTAAGGAAGGGGTACTCGGGGTTGAGAGGGAAGCGGAAGGGAATGGTGGGACTTCAATGGGTGAGGTGGTAAGGTCCAGAATGGGGACGGTCACTGGGGGAGGCAGTGAAGGACATGAAAGCGGAGGGGTTGCGACAGGCATGTCAGGAGGATGGCTAACAAAGGGGGTTGGATCATAGGAGGGTTGAGACATGGGAGTAGGAGGGAGCGAATGAAGTGGCACTGGGTAATAGTAGGAACCATCCGCACCGAGTACGGGGCACAGGGGAGTGGGAGCTGAAGACACACCCCCAGTAGGTGGGGTCTGCGTCGTGACGGGGGAAACGGGGCGGGAATTAAGTGTTGCGCTCCGAGCGCCATCATAGGGCGGTGGTCGTGAAACAATAGGAACAACATCATCATCGTGAACACTCCTATGATAAACATACACGATTTGCCCCTCAACTTCCAGTTCTTCCTCGACCCATCCTTCCCTTTTCAACCCTCTAGCTACCCGGTACCAAGCCTCTGCAACTTTCGTTAGTCCATTATCCAACAACAACCCTTCCTTGTCTATGAGTAACTTTCTCCAAAACTCAGGTTGTAATCTCCCGCTGGGCAACATCTGGAAACCACACACCTTAGCAATCTTTTTAAGTTTTAGCATTGCATCTTCTCCTGCCCTTTCTTTCACAATGTCACAAGCTAGCAAGCCTTTAGCAGGTCTAGCGTGTTCCTGTCCCATTTTTTGAGTAACCAAGGCGTGCCACACGTGGAAGACAAAGAAGTATAGTAAGTATAGGGGAAAAAGAATGTCTACAGTGCTCGACTGCCACGAGAGCTTGAGCCCCGTGCGTCTTCCCCAAACGTAGACTAGTCACGGAGATCCGCCCACCCGGGGTGGTGGTCACGGACGGGAGCGAATGAGCGTGGGTGACTAACACAGCTCTGGGCAACAGGCACAGGAGAGATAAAGAACAAAGGAGAAAATGAACGTGGCTGCGCTAATGAGAAGACATTTGCAAAAATCACAAACATACAAATGAGCGTAAATTCCGGAATCCAGAACTAACCACACAATACACACACACACACCAAGGGTACCCACACTGTAACAACAATTAAGCAGAAACCACAGAATGATAGAGAGCAAAATGGCCATGTACATGTTAACACCACCGGTGTCAGATATTCAGAATATAACAATCGCCAGCCTTCACCCACCAGGCTGGTCCCGGCAAAACACTGGTACCAACGGAAATACTACAATAATCAGACAAAAATCCCAGCCCCACCGGCTGCAGTGCGTTCCCTGCCCGCTAGGCAGTCAAGCTAACATAAAAACCCAGCCCCACCGGCTGTAATGCGTTCCCTGCCCGCTAGGCAGTCAAGCTAACATAAAAACCCAGCCCCACCGGCTGTAATGCGTTCCCTGCCCGCTAGGCAGTCAAGCAAACATATAAAATGCGTTCCCTGCCCGCTAGGCAGTCAAGCAAACATATAAAATGCGTTCCCTGCCCGCTAGGCAGTCAAGCAAACATATAAAATGCGTTCCCTGCCCGCTAGGCAGTCAAGCAAACATAAACTGCGTTCCCTGCCCGCTAGGCAGTCAAGCAAACATGAACTGCGTTCCCTGCCCGCTAGGCAGTCAAGCAAACATGTAAAATGCGTTCCCTGCCCGCTAGGTAGTCAAGCAAACATATAAAATGCGTTCCCTGCCCGCTAGGCAGTCAAGCAAACATAAACTGCGTTCCCTGCCCGCTAGGCAGTCAAGCAAACATGTCTTAAGGGTATAATAAACACACACACATAAATGAATACAGGAGGCAGATAGACAATCGACAGGTTCACTTAAAAAAGGGCGCACCGGATGAGTTAGTTACCTGTCTCTAGTAGCCTTCTGGAAGCCGGAAGTGGACTCGGAGACAGACCGGCACAAAACAGGAGAATAACACAGGCAACGGCTGTATTATGGAGGTGATCAGGCTCCGCTTGTCCCACTTTCCGGAGGTCCGCTCCGGTCCGTTGGTTCCGGCCCTCCGAACCGGCTCTCCGGTGGGCCCCACGTTGGGCGCCAATTGAAGTGGAAAAATCAATTAAAGTATTGATTATTTCTTTGTGTATCTGCCCCTGGCCAAATCAATGAAACAATGCGTGCACGCTCCCTGAAGTAATTCACACCAGACACAGGTTCTAGGTTGTTGAATAACTTGAGGAAAGTTTATTCAGAGGGGACGGCAAGTCCCTTTTAAAGCAAAATTACATCATATGCATTGTCAGAGATAACATGGAATAATACATCAATAATTGGTTAGGTGTTAAGTGGTTGCTCTAATGCTCTGCCTACTGCAGGTGATGTCACCGGGACCATGAGGGTCTCCCACGGTTTCCCGGCGCCATCTTGTTACACGAGGTAGTTAGTCGATGTTTAAGAAGGGAGGGGGAGGGGAAGGAGGGGTTAGAAGCTTCTAGCAGCCATCTTGATTGAAATATGTGTGCTCAGATTTATATGTGATATATATTGTAGAATGAGTCAATAGACATTTTCTCTAACTAGGAAATATGTATAGACCTTATTTCCACAACAATATATATATGTCAGACAAACTGTATCGGGGGCTTCCAGGCTCGCATCCAGTCACAAAATCGTAAGTTGCGGCTGTCGCACTAATGGCGCAGCCGATGACGTCAGGGGGGGTCGACGGGTGCACGCTGTATATTTGCATTTTCGGATATTTACATTACTATGCATTCGGTTAAACGTTTGACAAATCATTAGATTTCTCGGTCATTCGGTAGGTTATAATTATGGCTTGCTTAGGCCGTTCGTTTGCCGAACACTGTATTATTTTAGTGATGGGTTTTCGGTATTAGGGTGACCTCTGGTGGCTGGATTGGTTATAGCAGGTCTTATTTTTACACAGTTTGTAGTTACATTTTGATATAGTGTTAATTACATGTCTGACTGACCTCTGGTGGTCATAATAGTTATGACTTAGTGCTGGGAATTTTTTTACATATGGATGATGATAGTTTACTACTGATAATAGGGGTTCTGGTAGGGTTGTATGGCTTGATAGGTATGTGGCACTCATATGCTACATTTGCAATTTTGAATAAATCAGCAGATGGTTAGAGATGGAATAACTTTTCTATGAGCATTTTACATCTCCAGCTCTTAAAGGTCCAAACACGTACACTATATGTACCACAGCTAAGAGTATCATATGTCTGCAATTGTTATAGGACATATATATTTAGGTGCTAATGAATCTGTTGCATGTCAGTAATTGTGGACCTTTTTCAGTCTCAACAGCATCCACAGTGTGCTGCTACTATACCAACTTTGCACCTCGTATAGGTCAGTAATCACTAGTTATTATCCTCTCATGATCCCACAAGGGCCGGGTACTTATGTGTATTTTCTGTATTACCAGGTTTAGGCCATCCTTACTCCTTTGGAGTATTTGGTTCCAGTCCCCTACGGTTGGAATATATATCGGTAGGTATGCTGTTAGCAGGGGGATAGGAGGGTTGCATATTATCATAACCCTGGAAACTCACTATTACTTTCATAGGTTACTAAAGAACGCCTGTTTCACCTCTTACTACTACCTTGCAATTTGCTCATCAGGTACGTCATGATTTCTCTGCAATTTTCCCCATCCTCCCTACCCTTTCGGGTTCATAGTACAGGGCTATACTGGCATTTAAGAACAGGAGCCTCTAGGTAAGTTTTCTGGCCTTCTAAGCCTTACGTTAGTGGTCCCGCGAGGCCAACACCCATCCTCATTTCTGAGGTACGACTCTCTTGGTTGCATAGAGAGGGCCTCACTTGTCACTCCCATTCTGTCTTATGCTTTCACAAGTCACAGAGAGGCCATCACCCCGCCATAATGTCAATGGCCACGTACTCCACACAAGCCAAATCATAGATAGTGCCTCTCAAAGCCGTTTGACAATTAGCAGGGCCTCACCCGTCACGTTATTACGTAATAGTTTCGCCACTTGTCATTAGTTACATCAGCCAGTCGGGTAGTACCCAAGTTAACATGTTATTTTGTTTTGTAGCATGTCACAACTACCTAAAGGCGTGGAAGATTTGTCCATTCCCAGTACACCGGCTAGATCAGTCTCTCCTTCCCGGGGTGATGACACGGCAAGCCCTGCATCACTTAGGGCATGGACCATTCCTAGGATCACTGCCAAACTGAGGAAAAGGAACATTCCCTTTCCTGCTACGGCTAGGAAAGCCGAATTATATAGACCGTTGAATACTCAGACTGATAATTCGGGGGCGGGTGAAGGGTCTAGTGGTAGCCAGTCGGCTGATCTACATACTGTTTTATCTTCAGTCCTGACTTCCTTGGGCCGTATTACAGCCAAATTTGATAAGATGGATGCAGATAGCCAGCAACGGTCACCCTCAGAACTAGGGCATCCGGTTGCTACGGTTCGCCCAGACCACCTAACGGGTAATATTCCAACTAGTATGAAAGACCCGCATATTATTAACCCGGCACACATGGTGCCTGCTAGCATCAAGAAGGACATCTTGGAAGGAAAGGATATCAATCTGGTATCACTTCTCATTGCTTCTCAAGATGTCCTTGAAAATAAAACTTATGCTTATGGGGACGTGTCTGTAGTGTTAAAATCTAGGGACCCTAGATTGAATCGCAAGCTATCCATACCCGAATTTGTGTTGGCTTTCGGGATCTATAGAGACGTGATATGCTCCGTATATCCAGATAGGAGGGAAGAGTTGGATCTCTATCTCCACAAGCTGGTGGATTTGGGGCACAAGTACGGTGGCACGTCTTTTTACGACTACCACCGTGCATTTTCCGCAAAGGCTTCGGCTGCTCTATCCCAGTTTAATTATCAAACTGATTGGGGGGTGCTTGATACGGAGCTTTTTTGCTGACACTTTGCGGGCCTCAAAACCCCAGCTTGTGCCATTTGTGCGTCCGACTCCCACACGGCCAATTTGTGCCCTAACTCCCCAGAGGTGAATGCTCTATTCCCCCCTACAAATATGATGCCCACTGGGAGAACAGGCAAGGTACTGAAGGATAAACTGGGACGTGATAGTGTTTTTGGGAAAATCTCAAATTTGTAATAATTTTAACACAGGCACTTGTGGCTACAGTGCTTGCAGACTACTGCATTTCTGCTTCAGGGCTCACTCTAAGGTCATGCGTCCGAATAATATATCCCAAGCAGTACCTTTGTCTCTTAATGTCTCCCTGCTGAAAGAGTTATTGTGTGATCACCCATCTCAACATCTCGTAGATTTTCTGGTGGCAGGGTTCGTTTTGGGGTTTCACACTGGTATTGTGCATATGCCTACTGAGATCCTAGAATGTAAGAACTTGCAGACGGCCCAAGCAGCTCCAGACACAATTGACGTACTTCTACAGAAAGAAATTAATCAAGGGTTTCTAATTGGCCCTTTCGACTCCCCGCCTTTCGCGGTTTGGAGAACTAACCCCATAGGACTTGTCACAAGTAAATCCTCCAATAAGCAAAGGTTGATTCTGGACCTCTCTGCTCCCCACGCTTCACCTACCCCAAGTCTTAATTCGCTTATTCCATCTGAGGAATTTTCTCTCCAATATGCAACCATAGACCATGCCATCACGGCCATCCTCTCGGCGTGAGTGGGGGCATGGCTTAGTAAAATGGACATAGTGAATGCACTTAAGTTACTCCCTATCCATCCGTCCCTGTGGCATTTACATGGTGTTAAGTGGCATGATTTATATTATTTTTTTCACGCGTCTCACGTTTGGGTCTAAGAGCAGCCCCAGGATTTTTTATATATTTGCTGAGACGTTGTGCTGGATGCTGCTTAACATATTTAAATGCCCTACCGTTATCCATTATCTAGATGATTTTTTGTCCGTAGAAAGTAACCTCTTACCTCCCAGTAGCCTCCTTTCTACAAAACGACTGTTCTCACAACTTGAAGTACCTATTTCACCCACAAAGACTGAAGGTCCGGATACGATCATTAACTTCTTGGGGGTGGTGCTGGACTCTGTGCATATGTAGGCTAGCCTCCCCAGGGAAAAGATTGAACGCATCCTTTCAGCCATTGACCATTACCTAGCAGGTGGTTCTTGTAATAGAAAGGAGTTGCAATCCCTGTTGGGTTCACTTAATTTTGCAATGAAAATTATACCACAAGGGAGAGCATTTATATCACGATTGCTGAGCTTATTTCCCCTATTACAAACTGATTCCTCACGCATTACATTAGACATTCATGCTACCGCTGACCTACGCATGTGGAGGGAATTTTTGTTGCACTGGAATGGAAAAAGCATTTTCATTCCAGTATGGACGAATAAGTCAGTGTCTGTATGGACAGATGCAGCAGCCACTTCGGGATTTGCCGCAATTTTTGGCAATGAATGGATGTGGGGTATATGGCCGGAGGAAATTAATGAGATTCCTGAGTTTAAAGACACCTCGGCGTTATTTGAGCTGTACCCGATCGTGACAGCAGCAGTTAAATGGGGTGCTTGCTGGTCTGGGAATAAGGTGCGTTGCTTCTCAGACAACATGGCAACATGCCATATTGTAAACAAGGGACGTTCCACTTCCCTGGCCATCATGCGATTTATGAGGACTCTCACATGGCTAGCTGTAAAACACAGTTTCTTCTTAACGTGCATAAATGTTCCTGGGGTTCTGAATATCGCTGCTGATCATTTATAGCGGTCTCGATTTCAGGAGTTCTGGGCGGCACTACCAACAGCTACCCTGATACCAGCTCCAGCGCCGCAGTGGCAGGAGATGGTTTGGGACTAAAGGAACTACTCACTCACGGACAGCAACTCTCTCAAATGGGTCTTTCGGTTAACACCAGGAAGGCATACGGCAGGGCCTTTCATATCTTTAATAAGTTTCTGCTTGACTACAAGATTTTCCATGGAACAATGATTGCATTCATTTCCTTTTGCCACCTTCACCTAACACTATCATTCAACACTATTAAGTTATACATCACCGGTATTCAACATCACATCCTCACTACTTGGCCTAATAAACAACACTTTCTGTCATCTTACCAAGTTAAAGCTATACTTAAAGGTATCAAGGACTCCACCCCTACACCCACACCATCCAGATTACCCATCCACGATCTCCTGTTCCAGTCTCTGTCAAACCTGTTAGACACTTCACCATTTGAAACTCACACTAATCAGGTAATTAAAACAGCCATCTATTTAGCTTTTTACGGTTTCCTTCGGCCCAAAGAATTTACCACCTCTAACTACTGCACCCCCAACTTTATCACACGGTCAAACCTGGTAAAAGCACACAATCGCTATTTACTGTCCCTACACCATACGAAAACAAGTACCAAGGGTCAGATGGTCACTATTACCTACTATCCCACTGGTAATAGATGGTGCCCCGTGGAAGTGTTCGATCAATACCTCTCCTCCTTTCCCTCGGCTCCAACCCAACCACTGTTAGCCTTACACGGGAATACGCTCACTACGAGCAAATTCATGCTCTATGTAAGGATGTTGTTGGTTCGGTTAGGCTTGAACCCAGCCGAATATTCCGGTCATTCATTTAGAATATTAGCAGCTACTACCGCTTCTAAAAGGAATATTCCAGCTCACATCATTAAGATATTAGGCCGATGGAAGTCCACGGCTTACCCCAGATACATTCCTCAGCCGGTACAAGAGGTGCACCGTACATTTAAAAATATGATTATGTGATATCCTATGTTGTATTGTATGCTGAATAAACTGGTTACACCTTTTTGCCCTCTTTTATTTCAGGCCTACTACCTCGTCAGTTACGGCACACCATAACTGACTTGTTCCATGCACTGTTTGTTTTATGTTACTCATTCTACGGCTTTATGCCCTGACCACAAATGGAAGGCAGGGCCTGAAGTTGTGGGAGGGGCTTGGTTCCCCTTCTTAAGGAGCACCAGCCCTTCCCTCAGTATCATCTTAGGTCTGGTGATTTCTCCCACCAACCACACCTCCTTTTATAAATAGTTCATAAGGTAGGCCCTCTTTTATTTCAGGCCTACTACCTCGTCAGTTACAGCACACCACAACTGACTTGTTCCATGCACTGTTTGTTTTATGCTACTCATTCTACGGCTTTATGCCCTGACCACAAATATATATATATTAATTCTACATATATATTTATGTAATATTTTTACATAATGAAGTCATTTTACTGATTACAATTTGCAGGACCTGACTGATAACCCAGGCAGAAATTCCAGAGAATTTAATTTGCTAGCACTATATGTAACCCTGTAACTTTCCAAAACACAATAAAACCTGTACATTTGGGGTACTGTTTTACTCGGGAGACTTCTCTGAACACAAATATTAGTTTTTCAAAACAGTAAAATGTATTACAACGATGATATCAGTGAAAGTGACTTATTTGCATTCTTCACACACAAACGACATTTATAACGATATAATTGTTGTGGTACATTTTACGGTTTTGAAACACTAATATTTGTGTTCAGCAAAGTCTCCTGAGTATAACAGCACCCCTCATGTACAGGTTTTATGGTGTTTTCAAAAGTTACAAAGTCAAATATAAGGCTTGTGTTTCAGTTTTTTCACATTTAAATTCAACAGATTGGTTATGTTGCCTTTGAGACCGTATGGTAGCCCAGGAATAATGATGACATACCATTTGCAATAGTAGACAACCAAAGGTGTTGCAAATGGGGTATGTCCAGTCTTATTTAGAAGCCACTTAGTCACAAACACTGTCCAAAATTGGTGTTCAAATTAGTTTTTTGCATTTGTCACACACAAATATTAACACTAACTTTTGCCAGTGTTTGTGACCAAGTGGCTACTAAAAAAGACTGCACATACCCCATTTGCAATACCTTGGGTTGTCTACTATTGCAAATGGTATGCCATCATGAAGGTAATTCTCATTCCTGGGCTACCATACGGTCTCAAAGGCAACGTAACCGATCTGGCGAATTTCAATGTGAAAAAACTGAAAAATGTAACATGCAAGATTTCATCCTGTAACTTACCAAAATACCATAAAACCTGTACATAGCGGGTACTGTTTTACATGTGAGACATTTCTGAATACAAATATGTGTATTTTATTGCAGTAAAAGCAAACAGTCTTATGACATTTACAGTTAAAATGTCATGTAGAAATAAATAAATAACATTTCTTATTTTCTCCCATTTTTTAAATATTTTATTCATATTAAATTATGTTTCATACCTAAATATTTGATGTTAAATGAAAGCGCTGTTACCCCTGAATAAAATGATATATAATAAGTGTGGGTGCACTTAAAGGACCACTCTAGGCACCCAGACCACTTCAGCTTAATGAAGTGGTCTGGGTGCCAGGTCCAGCTAGGGTTAACCCATTTTTTTATGTTTATGAATGGGTTAAGCCTTCCCCCATTCCCTCTAGCGGCTGTCTCATTGACAGCCGCTAGAGGCGCTTGCGTGCATCACACTGTGATTTTCACAGTGAGAGCACGCAAGCGTCCATAGGAAAGCATTGATAATGCTTTCCTATGCGACCGGCTGAATGCACGCGCAGCTCTTGCCATGCGTGCGCATTCAGCTGACGGGGCGGAATGGAGGAGGAGAGAAGGAGGAGAGCTCTCCGCCCAGCGCTGGAAAAGGGTAAGTTTAAACCCCTTTCCCCTTTCCAGAGCCGGCGGCAGGGGGTCCCTGAGGGTGGGGAGACCCTCAGGGCACTATAGTGCCAGGAAAACGAGTATGTTTTCCTGGTACTATAGTGGTCCTTTAATATGAAAGAGGTGAATTACGGTTGAACAGACATGTAGTCCAATTCCAGACTTTGTTTACGTTTTGTTTTGATCACAACGTGTACATTTGGCTCAGTCCTTAAGGGGTTAAACTACTATTTTTTAAATTATGTAATATACACTATTGTTCATTCACTAGTTCACTTCAGTGCTTAACCTCGTGCCATTTTTCTTTCTTTCTATTCTACACAGGATTCCATATCTCGGCAGAAATATGCTTTGGCAGCTATTTTCCACTCTGCTACAATGCTGCCGGAGGTCAATGATCTTGTCCAGTTTGAGATCAGTGTAGGGAACTATGGAAATAAATTTGATGGCACCTGTAAACCTTTGTCATCCACAACCCAATACAGACAGCCCATGTTTGATGGTAAATAATACAGTTTACTACTGGTATATCTAAACAAGATTTCTTTATTAGGTACAACCGTACACTGACCCAATAATATAAATATCTAATCAGCTTTAATGTGACAGCAATCCTATGCATAAAACCATGCAGTCAAGTTCAAGAGGTTCACTTCTTGTTCAAGCCAAAAAGCAGAATAGAGAAGAAATGTGATCTAAGTGACTATCCATTATTTTTAATGTTAGTCTGACTGAGTGTCTCAGAAACTGCTGATATCCTGGGATTTCCACACACAATAGTCTAAAGTATACAGAGAGTTTAACAAAACATAAAAAAGGCCAAAACATGTGGTGGAACATGCTATCTTAATTAGGCAGATCAGATGAGAATAGCCACAGTGGTTTTTAAAGTGGTTCAACCTTGATGTTGAAGGAATGCAGCAGTAGTAGACTATACCAGAACTGAACAGTAGAGAGTTGGGAAAGCATTGCCAGGTCTGACAAATGTCATTCAGGTTTTAGAGTCAGAATTATGTCTACACAACATGGAACTATGGATGCTGTCAGACTTATTATGCCAGAAAATTTGAATATTATTCTACTACACACACTGCAGGTCACCTGGTGGGGAACTTTTGGTAAACATTGGTGTCATTTAACCCCTTAAGATCTGTCCTATTTTAGGCGGCTCTGAAAATTAAATTAAAAGTGTAAAAAAAAAAAATTTATATACTTAGATCATATATATATTATATATATATATATGATCTAAGTATATATATACACATATACATAAACACTCATACACTGTCTAGGTGTATTTTACTATTAATATATATAAAATTATATATATATATATATTAATATTAAATTACACGTAGACTGATACTGATTAAATATATATATAATTATTGTTATATATATATTTATATATAATATAAAAAAAAATGAAAATACGTAAAAAAATAAAATTAAAAAAATAATTAAAAATAAATAAAAAATATATAGATGTGTGTTATTTCGTTCTAACTGTATTATGATATTAATATATATATATATTTATATCAAAATACACGTAGAACGAAATAATATAAATATATCTATATACATAAATATATATATCACTATATATATACCTATATATAAATAAATACCTACTCGTTTTCCTGGCACTATAGTGCTCTGAGGGTGCCTCCACCCTCATGGTCCCCCTCCTGCCCGGCTCTGGGGAGAGGAAGGGGTTAAAACTTACCTTTCTCCAGCGATGGGCGGGGAGCTCTCTGCCTCCGATCCTCCTTCTCTCCTCCCCGTTGGCTGAATGCGCACGCACGGCAAGAGCTGCGCGCGCATTCAGCTGGTCGCATAGGAAAGCATTATCAATGCTTTCCTATGGACGCTGGCGTGCTCTCACTGTGAAAATCACAGTGAGAAGCACGCAAGCGCCTCTAGCGGCTATCAATGAGACAGCCGCTAGAGGGAATGGGGGAAGGCTTAACCCATTCATAAACATAGCAGTTTCTCTGAAACTGCTATGTTTATAAAAAAAATGGGTTAACCCTAGCTGGACCTGGCACCCAGACCACTTCATTAAGCTGAATTGGTCTGGGTGCCTAGAGTGGTCCTTTAATTTTGTCGACTAACAATTTGTCACATTTTAGTCGACTAAATCTAAAACAATTCAGATGACTAAAATACAACTAAAACTAAAATGGCTTTTTAGTCAAAAGACTATGACTCTCCAACCCATTCTGCGAAAAGCTATGGAGGAGCTGAAGCAATGGAACACCCAATGTATCTCATGGGTGGGCCAAGTAAACGTGGTGAAAATGACACTGCTGCCCCAACTACTGTTTGTGTTCCAGACGGTGCCAATTCTAATGCCATAACCATTCTTCAAGACACTTAAATCAGAAATCTGGAGATTTATCTGGAAAGGCAGATCACCGAGAGTGGCACACTCCCAACTGACACTGCCCAAATTGAGGGGAGGATTGGCACTACCAGACTTCAATAAATACTACCTGGCAGCTCACTTCTCGAGGATAATTAGCTGGACTGCCCGCGAGTGGGTACGCTTGGAGGCAGACAATATACAAGGGTACCTCAGAGCCCTACCATAGATAGATACCAAGGTGAAAGAAGTGAGGCAGCCATGAACCCAATCATCACAGCAACGCTACGCCTATGGCACAGTCATGGACCCAAACATTACCTGACAACAGAACCAAACCCTTTTACCCCAAATGGGGCAACCCGGACTTCCCCACTGGCGCCCAAGTTGCCATTGGAAAGATGATGGGCAGCAACTCTTTCCCAAGGGGGAAAGACGTAATAGGACAGAATGGAACCACCCGCATGATGGCTGAGCTATTCCCAAACATGACCCACACACTGCTCCACTCACTGCCGAGGCAGCAGCTAATGTGCTACATAGCCTCAATCCTGCAAAAAACAAACATCACCAGAGAACTAACAGATTTTGAGCACCTCTGCCTTTGCGACACGACCATCCCCAAAACTGTGTCCATGATATACGTCATGCTGGTGACAAAGCTCTACTTACTACCACCACCCTGCATGCGCAGCTGGTAAGAAGACCTCCAGCAGACATTCACAGAAGTGGAATGGGACAAAATGCTCACCCTCATCCAGAAAACGCCGACATCGGCACACGTTCATGAGAATTCCTACAAGATCCTGATAAGATGGTACCTGACACCGACCATTCTACACTGGGAAACCCAGAACAATCAGACCTCTGCTGGTGCTGCGGGGAGGATCGAGGCACTTTTCTACATATATGGTGGTCCTGCAAATTGGTCAAATCATTCTGGGACGTGATCAGTCAGGTGATGAAAAGACTATCTGAGGAACCCCCACCAATGGAAGCAGCAACACACCTGCTCCATCATACGTCAGTTCCGGTACAAGACTACAAACCCCCTCCCCCCTGTTTTCCCCCCTCTTTTCTCTCTCTTTCATTCTATCCCACTTCCCTACCCCCCCTTCGCTCATCATACATCTCTTACTATCACCCTCCCCAAGCCCATGCAAGACTCAACACTCAATGCCGGGAGCCACCTGGCCAGAGCCCAGCCGTGCCTCTGAGGAGGTGGATGCCATAAGTGGGGACGGAGTGCATCAGATGACTCCGGAGATCTCACACTGACCTATTTGAACGAAATGAACCTCACGTGACAGACCAATACCATGACGGCTTCCCTGACCAAGAGCCCAAATCTAGAGGCTAAAATGGTTCATAAGTATATTGTTACTGAATATCACGAATTTATACTTCACACTCCTCTGCATAGCAGAATGTTTCGTATTCACATGCTGTATCAATAAAGATCTATTTCAAACAAAAGGCTATGACTAAAACTAAATTGAAATTTGCAGCCAATATTAACACTGCATAGAGAGGCTGTAGAAGCAGCAAAAGAGACAGAACGGGGCTTTGGAGTGAGATACGTAGTGGGGCTCAGAGGACACAAAGAGGCACAAAGGGACTGGGGATGGGGCATAAGAGACAGATAGGATTTAACTAAGCCCATTAGATTTTAGTCGACTAAAAATCTAATGGAGATTCAGTCTACTAAAACTAAAACAATCTAAAATGCGACTAAAACTAAAATGGCTTTTTAGTCAAAACACTATGACTAAAACTAAATTTAAATTTGCCGTCAAAATTAACAGTGGGCTGTTAGTTTCTTGATGCTGAAAAAAACATTAGATAGATTAAACTGTCAGTTTATTGAGGACATCTTATGCAAATGTGGATTCTCTCTGGAATTTTCAGCTGTTCTAAGAGCTTTATAACTCTTCCCATCAGCTACAGTTTTAAAATCATGCTTTGGATCAACCCCGTTTTACATAACAAATGGAACTAGGCAGGGTTGTTCTCTATCTTTGTTACTATATGTGTTGCCATTAGAACCACTAGCCACTGCTATCGAACAGAATACTAATATTCATGGCATACAAATAGGTGGCAAAGATTATAAATTAGATTTATTTGTGGATGACATTTTGCTAACATTATCGCAACCTTTAATATCACTTCCTAACCAACAGAAGCAACTGCAAGCATACAGCACATTATCTTATTACAAGCACAACATGTCAAAGAGACAGAAATTTTGGGGTAGGTAGACATATAACAGATACCCGTTCGCCTATTTTCTCCTGAACTGCTAAAGCCTGAGTGATTATAGCTCGCAGTTCGTTGGTTCGAACGATTCTCCATAGGAATGTCAACCTCCCAAGTGTATTCTCCCAGCAAAGTAGACAGGTGCCCAGATATCAGTTGAAACTAGATGAAGGGTGTAACAGGAATAATTTTAATGGTGCCACACTGCCCCATGCAAGGGGCACTCCCACATGCCCAGAAATAGTTCCATGAGTTTGTCACGTTCTGTTCCTCGCTGCGGATCATTCTGGCAATGGCTTCTGGTATCCAGTACTCTTTTTGCTGTCCTTGCTTGGTTTTTCTGGTCTATGTCTGGTTTTCTTTATTGCTGGAATTTCTGGGTTCATTTCTGTAGTCCATCTCTGGGATTCCAAGTCTCCAGGTTTCCTTTAAATGTTTGTTTTATTTTGCCACACCCGCTTGTTTCCACTTTCCATTTGTTTCAGCCTGGACCTGCAGCAGTGTTTCAAGCCTCTGCCCTTTCTTGCAGGTAAGTGCTGTATTGTGGTTTAGTATGGTTGTTTTAGCATGCATTAGGCAGTGTAGGACCTGCCGGATATGGGGTACATTGGCGTTGTTGGCAGGCTTATGCAATGTATGATCATATAATGTGACTAAATCCCCATACTTTCATATATAGTGCTTAGCTAGGTCTCCTCTTGTTTTACCCTGTATCTCTTGTCTTGTTTTATTTTGTCTTGTAATCCCAGTCTACGTATAGTCCTGTCCAGTCATGCCCATGTTAAGTTCTTGTTTTCCTCATGTCTTGTGTACATGTTCTAGGTTATACTTTCTGTCCTGCTCTTGTTCTGGGTTCTCCTAGTTTTGTCTTGTGTTCATG